ATATAAAAAAAATACTCACTACCAAAGTTCTCGTCAGTTTCATACTAAAGTATAAAAGTAAGGGTGAGGTCAGCCACAGTGCTAGGGGAAGTTTATTTAGATACATTTATGTCCACATGAAACGCTTAGACTTGCATCCTATTACATATGGAATTTCGAGTTTATAACACACCATGAATGGCAGATTGGCTAGCCCACGCTACTCAAGAGCACACTCACAGACCCACACAGGGTGGTATAGTATGTACAGAATACAGCAGTAGGAGCCTTCCACAGAGGCTCTGGAACTTTTGTCTCTCAGACCCACTCCCCACCCCCTTCACACCTTGCCTCCCGGAAGCGAAATCCTATCTGAGACAATACATTCTGATTATTAAATAGCCATGTTTGGATTATGGTTGTTCCCCAAGAGGGGTGGGGTTTATTTATATGTTTTCTGTATTTTAGTTTATTTTTGGTGAAAGGAAAAAAAAGGAAAAAAAAAAAAAAAAGAAAGAAAAAGAAAGCAAACTTACAGTATTAAAGTATTGCTTAACTTCCAGCATCGCCTTGTGTAGTGTCTGTGCCCAGGCCGGGCTGAGCTGACGTCTGCTTGTTTTCTGCCCTAGGTGAGGGCTGGGGAGCTTGCCAGTGTTCTGTTCAATGTGCTTGCTTGCAGCCTGCCCCTCTCTCTGCCCTCTGCCTGGCTGGCTTTTGCCTTCTCTGGAAGATCTGGCTAGTGAAGCACATTAAAAAAAAAAAAGTCTCCCTTCCCTCACCTGCCCCCTAGTTTCTCTCTGTCCCTGTGTGTCACTTCCAACCAATAAAGAGAATGACTTAGTGTTTCTTTTGTAAACAATTTCATATGCAATATAATACAGAAAGCATGGCTGACCTTCAATTAAAAAAATGTAGTAAACTATATTGCTTTATTCTTGAAGATGTCGCAGTGAGTGAATGGCAGAATGAAGTGGTGTGGTGGTGGTGGAGGCCAAGTCCCTAGCCCTCATTTGCACAAAAGATCAAAATGGGTTTTGTTTTTCTATTTGGAATCAGAAACGTCCCCCACCCCCCACACTCCCAAATGAAAAAGAACCAAAACGAAAAAACCAAAAAACTAAAAAAAGGAACAAAAACCAAAATAAAAATAAAACCCAAAACCCCAAAACTGAACACCTTTCAGGTCATTAGAACCAACAATTACCCAATGATTTTTATACTAGTCTAGAAAGATGTGTGTAACATTCACTGGCTGTGAATTGCTGTGCAGTGAAACATTAAATTGACAGCAACTGAGCCATGCTACCTTAAAGCCCAAGCTACAAGTTCAAATTAAGATAATGGTTATGAAAGATTAAAAAAAAATAACAATGCAAAGGCCTATTGGGGCTTCGTTTGAATCAAGCCAATGAGCGACTGGGATAGAGTACGAGGCTGTTTGGTTTTCCCAATGGGTGTGAGGAAGGCCACAAACCACACGTGCAGAAAGGCTCCTGGGGGGAGACCCAGGCTGGGTCATTTCCACCAGCCCCACCTCCAGGCTGAAGTAGGAAGGGGCCCAGGAGTCTTTGCAAACTCCTCCCCTTTTAGAAGGAGAGGAGCCTGGGGGTCTCAGGCAGATGGATCTGGAAGTCAGAGAGTCCCCTGGTGGTTACCTGATAATGGCAGGGAAGAGCCATTAAGCCAAGAGGGTTTCTTCCCCAGGGAAGGTGAAAGGCGGTCCCCACATTCGCTATTGAGCTTAACTAAACAAAGTCAAGGATGGACATCAGTACTAAAAGAATTTACAAAAATTGTTAGAAATGGACTTCTAGATGAGGAGGGGGGGACTAACGTGAACCTTAACCTAGGTAGCCACTTGAAAACATATCAGATGTCCACAAGATTTGTGCTATGGGCTACTGGGTCTCTTCAAAAGGTATATAAACATCTAAAACATATTCACACAGATTATCAATTTCTTCTGAGCATTCTTAAAAAAATATTTTTTCTCTTAGTAAAATCATTTTAATATACCACGCCTCCCTCTTTTAAAAAATAAATTAAAAAAATCCAGTTTTGCATATCTAGTGTTTGCATTTAAGGTAGTATGGCACTCCCCTTCACAGAGAGGGGGGCAGGGACCTATAAAATGCCGCTGAGTTGGCCGACATTTGAACGTTGTGAGACCTTGGGTTAGTTGAAACCACATCAGATCAGCAAAAATAAAATTAAAATTGAACTTGAAAAAAAAAAAAAAAAAAAGGAAAAAACTGCCCCAAAATTATTAGCATTTTTTTTCTTTTTCATAAATAAGAGAAAGTTCTATCCTTACTGGTCCTAAATCTGAATAACTATGTCTAATTTTTTTAAAACCTTAATTACGTTATACCTATCAATATGTACTAGAAGAAAGAGGAGAAAAAAAGTCACTATGCTAGTACCAAGACAGCACGCTTACAAGATAGCCATTTATACATTATTAACAGACAGTGATCAACAGAGTCTTCTATGAGGTGATGGGGATGCAGAGAGGACAAGGAATACAGTACATCACCAACATGGACGAAGGAGCAATTATCCCCTAGCTAGACACCGAATTTCTGGGAATTTAGTGTCTCTCTTTTTCTCTTTGTATTTTCTTAAATAAAACTTCTATTCTGTTATTTTATGACTTAAAACGAGTTTTGATATTTTAAAAATATCCAGCATTTTATTTAGCTTGGTTGTTTGGAAACTTAAAAACAAAACAAAACAAAACAAAACAAAACAAAAAAAACAAGCCCCCAAACCTTACCAAACAACCTAGCATTTTTATTCAAAAAACAAAACGAAAAACATGACTTTCTTTTTTTAAAAAAAATGTTGTTGCTGTTTAATTAGAATTGAAGCAGACTTTTTTTCTTTCTTTCTTTCTGAATTAGCATTTTGGAGACTTTTACTTTGAAGATGCTTTTGCCCTACCATGTCTGTGAATGTCTACATTAGTCTACACTTTGTTAGTAAAATTTATAAAAATAGGAGTGCAGCAGCTCTTTATAATAAATGTCGCGTTCAGTGTCTCATACTGGCTGTGCCTTAAGTACCAAATTTATAAACGTAACAATTTAAAAATATTAATAAAACGTCAATATCACATTTTAAAAAAGAAAAAATATATATCCACACTACAATATGTTTTAATGCCATCTATTGATCTGTATGTCTGTAGCTGCTGTTGTCGACCTATTACCAATATTTTTAAAAAAAGTTAAATTAAAAAATATCCTTCATCATAAGTTTCTTTCCCCAACTGAGGACCATATATTATAACAGCCAAATGTGCAAACAGGAAACTGTCAGTTTTTCCCACCAGTCACAGTGCAGTGATGTTTATACTTTTTATTTTTAAAATTCTGTTTACATCTACAATAAATTAAAAAAAAAATTCTTCCATAGCCTCTCTGGTGATACTTGCAGCACTGAGGTATTAAAAAAAACAAAAAAACAAAAAAAAAACAAAAAACAAAAAAACAACACATACATAAACCAAAAGGTTGCTTTCCTAATTTGTAAATAGAAAGTGAATGGAGAAAGGGTGTATTCATGCAGGCTTATCCACTCCTGGCCCAGGGCCCCCAGATCTGGGGATGGGGTGGGGAGCAGGGGAGGAGAGGCAGAGTGTCCTAGGAACCTTTGGAGGTGCTGAAATGATCGGACAATATAAAATGATCAAATATTTAAAAATTAAGACTGAAAAAGAATGCCCCCACCCTGCCCCTCCCCTAAGCCAAACAGGTGTGCTTTGAAACTTTAAATATGTTAAATATTAAAATTGTAGCTTTTTCTTTTCTTTAAAAAACACCTTGGGAAAAGCAGTTTTTTATATTTTAAATAAAAACCTAGCTAACCGTAACATTTGAAGCTGTGCACAGATGAGAGGTTGATAGGCTGGTAGGGTACTAATACAGTTCTTAGGTCTATTACACCGACAGAGGAGCCAAACAGTGCTCTCACGGGTCCCGGGGTCGCCCTGGCAGCTGGGCATTCTTGTGTTGTAGTACCGGCTTTGCAACATTCCCTCCCCTCCTTCCAGAGCATCAAACTGCCTGGGACCGACTCCCTCACAAAAATATTTTTGATTCTCTCTTTCTTAATAGCTTCTATGTAGTTAATGGAATTATATTTACAACATTTCTTTTTTTTTTTTTTTTTTTTTAGAATTCACAATTTCAAAAAACCTTATATGACCTCTTTCAACAGAAAAAAAAAAAGCACTTATAGAAAAGGAGGACACTCAAAACATAGTCGTCCTTACCTTATTGCCGAAAATAGATATACTTAGGTTAATAAAGAGATGTCACAAAAAAGAACTGCTAGCGTCTGTTAAGTAGCCAACTACGTGTCACTTCTACAATGCCAAATAGAAAGTTTATGCCCACCTCCCGCTCCGCACATCACAACTTCGCTTCAGTGTGTGCTAAAGTTCCACCTGAAAATCCTTACAGTCTCAAAATTGGTACCAAAAATAGAGAGCAACATCACCATCTCAGCATCCTTTAAAAGTGAGAACAGAATAAAACCCCAAAAAACAAAACAAAACAAACAACCAAACAAAAAAACCAATTTTTCTTTTAAAAAGAAAAAAAAAATAACTCCTTAATGTAACAATTACACTATGGTTAGCTTTTAACTAGATATTAAAGCTAGGTGACTATTGGACTAAGTCAAAATCATCACTACCAAATGTGATTCAAAGAGATTCAAAAGGAGAAGGGAAGGAGGGATGGGGAAGGGAAACCACCAAGTAAAACAGAACAGATGCAAACCAAAATCATGGGTTATATACACATTTAAAAGCTGTTGTCGTATATTACAGCAGATGGGTGAGATGATGAGATGCAGCAACCCTCAATCCAAAGCGTGCCACCTCTGGTTGGGATGAGGAGTGAGGCTGGTGGGGGTCCAGGTCTGAGGACATCACCTAAACAAAGGGCCACTCAGAAACTTCGCCCAGTCTTGCCTGGACATCCAGGTATGCTCTGTAGGGCAGGGAAGGTCAGGCGTGTCCCGAAGAGAACATAAAGTGGGGGTGGGAGGAGAAAGAAGACATGTCAGGCAAGTGTACGATTTATTCCAAGGTTTTAACTACTGCTCTCAAAGGACTAGGCTGAATGACAGTGTGTGTAAAAATGGCCAGGCTAATGGCTTTCTGAGATCTCAGCTTGGGAAATCAGATGTCTATGCCATGCCTGGTGGCCTGGGAGGAGGCAGATCTACGACTTTACTAGATCTGACACCGGCCTGGAAAGTTCTTGATATAAGGGTGGCAAGTGCTATGGTCATGGTGGGTTTTGGCTAGACAGTCAAATCACACATTCACTGGAGATATTTTTCTGCTTAAATTTCTGTTTTCAAAGCACTATGTTTAAGAAAAAAATTCTGCCCATGAATAACTGTTAATAAGTGAAAATGTAAATTTGTACTATAAAAATCACAGTCTTTTGTGTTGTTATTTTATTGTTTTGAGACAGAGTCTCCCTGTAGCCCCATATGGCCTGGAACTCATTTACGTACACCAGGCTGGCCTTGAACTCACAGAGATCCACCTCCTGCCTTGTCCTCCAAGTGTTGGGATTAAAGGCACTGTGCCACCATGCTCAGAAAAAAAAAAAAAAATTACTTTCTATACTAAGGGATTGAAGGCCAGAAATACTTAAAAAACAAAATACACAAGTAGCCAACTTTGGTTGGAGAAAGTCAAAACAGGCCCAGGATTTATGCTTGCTCTCTGGGTCACTGCAGGATGCCCATGGGCTTGGGACCCTCTTCTGTGGATGGCACTAAATGTCAGCATGCCAGCATGCCAGCTCTGCTGGAGACAGATGATGAACCTGCCTAGTCCTTGTCAGCTGTGGTGCAACCTTGTGACTTGACTGCAAGGGGTGGGCTGTGGGCGCTCCTTCTCTCCTGTCTACTTTGTCTCTGTGTGGGAACTGAGTCTAGGAGTTGGATGACGGAGATGGGTTAGGGGTAATCTCTACCTTCTCTGTGGCAGGACTGCAGCAGCCTTGCAGGATGTGGCACTGTGGGTGGGAGGGAGGGGACAGAGGCAGCCCCAGTGACTGGTCTCCCAGGACCCACGGTGCCTGGAACAGTACTTGAGTCCCTTTTCATTTGACAGCTGAAGCCATCTTCAGGCCTCAGAGTTCTTGGACCTATCAGTTCTCCTCGCACCCAGAGGAACCTTACTGTCCACGAGCCCCCAAACCCAGTTTAATTAGTAGCAAGTAGCTCTCTTTCAGACTGTTAGTGGCTTCTGGCTCTGGCCAGTGATGGCTGGGTCAGTACTCAAAGGGCAATGGAGGTGAGGGGCTGGGAAGTTCATACACAGGGCTTATTTGGTTAGGAGAGGCAGTGGAGTTAGTCCAGCAGCAACACAGGAGGAATCTAAGAAATTTTCGGAGCTCAACTCAACTGGGTTCCCCAACTGGTCCTATTCTATGGAGTCCTTGTTGCCTCAGGGCTGAGAGCAAGTCCCCTCTACTAAAGAGGGGGTGAACCCAGAGCTGGCTTCTCCCCAGATCCAGCTCCAGAAGTGAAAGATTCTTGTGCTCAATGGGATTTTCCAAGTGGATTCATTCCCAGGCCCAGGCTGCTACCTTCCCTCTTCTAAAGAGACAGACGCACCATCCCACCCCACAACTCATATGCCAGCACAGGCCAGTCTGTGCTTTCAGAGGACGACCCCTTTCTTCTTGATGTTCTTCCCAAGCATGCCAGATATTCAGTTTTGGAGAATGTGGTAAGAGGCTTACTCACTACCTGCCCCCACCCCCTCTCTTCTGTTTCACCACCTCTGTATCCCCATCAAAGTGATTTAAAAATGTTTAATTAACTTGAGCTCAGTTTAAAAGGTTAGGAAACTGGCAGGGATCCAAATTCATGTTAGGCAGGTGATGTCGTTAATTTAATTTGCTTTTCGTGTGGTAATCTTGATAATTACTCTGTAGTTACTGGCAAAAAATGTTTTCTTTTCACTAAAAGATGGAATCAGGCTATTTGGCTGTACAAACCCCATTGGCTGAGCCCTAGCAACCCACAGGGTCAGTTCACAGGACTTTGAGAATGCCCTACTGCTCCTAAGTCCCTGGCCCCAGGCCTGGCAGAAGGCCAGTTTCTCTGCTTCTATCCCCCTGGAATGGGCACAGTATGAGATCACCTTCCAGTTTCCCACACTCTTGATTATAGTTCAAGACAGAAAAAAGTGAGGGTGGGAAGATACAGAATGGAACCAAAAGAACCAAATTAAGGACCAAGAAAGGGGGGGAGGAGAGAGAGAGAGACAGACAGGTGAAGGTCATGATTAAAAGCTGGAGGAAGAGAGAGAGATGAGAGATTAAAGATTGGATTTGTTTTTGCCCCACTTCCTTAGGAAGGGGTCCAAGAGAGAAAAGATGCGATGTAATGAGATGGGGCATGCGCGTACATGTATGAGCAGGGCACATACGTGTACGGACATGCTGGCAGGGCGGAGACGCATGGCAGAGACGGTAATACCTCAGAGTGAGATGGCAACGGAAGCACCTGCTCAGTGGTATCCATTTGTAAAGGCCGTTGCAATCAAAGGTCCCTAAAATTGCACAATTGTTAAGGTCATCAGTGCGCTATACAAGGGAACAGATTGTCATATTCTGGGAAAGGAAATTATTTCTAGGCTAGTTTGTGGTTGCCAGCATGAATATGTAATTCTGAGACACTGTGCCACGAGAGGTCAGGGTGACACTGTCCCCAGCTCCCATCCCTCCTGCCCTGTGATCTTCCACCCAAGCCTGTCTGCCTTCCCAAGGGGGAAACCAAGAGCCAGATTCTGAGGGGTGAATGGGTAGGTAGAAAAGGGTAGCTTGTGCCCAAAATGATGGGCTCAGTGACCATGAACCTCACAGGGCAAAGATAAGGGTCTCTGTTGTCAGTATCAACAGCTTGATTTGAGAAGAAGAAATGTCACTTCTGATGAATGGTGATGCCCTGTGATTATTTCGGAAAAAACATCACAGCCTGAAGGTCCCAAGACCCCAGTTTTCAAGAACAAATATGGTGTGTGTTTCTAGCTGCAAAAAATGGAAATGAGTCCTGTTCAAAGTACTGATCGACGGGCCCCCAAATTGATGCAGCTCTAGGCTGAATAATAATGTTCTGGATTTGGTACCACAGTTGATCTGAGGGGATTAGACTCAAACTACTGACTCAAGTGATACTGGCTTGGGAGTGGAATTGAACAAGGACTTGGGAAGCACAGGCCAGAGTTGGCTGACATGCACATGTGAGTATGATGTCTCTGTGAGAGAAAGGGATGTGTGTGTGTGTGTGTGTGTGTGTGTGTGTGTGTGTGTGTGTGAAGATGCTAGTAAGATGGTAAAAATGTTTTCAATAATACTAAGTGGGAAAAAAACACTTGCTCCAACGCCCAGAGGCATGGATGAAACTGTCCTGCTCCCCCAGGCTCTCTGCACTGGCTTTGGTCTCCCCAGCATGGTCCCCAAGGCAGAGCTGGCCCACTGTCTCCCAGATACAGAGTCTGATGCAGGATGTGATCTGGGACAGAAGACACCCCATCTCAAAACCAAACTGCCCTCAAAAGACTGAGGCTGGCTGGGGAAAGAGGCTGGCTCAATTTCTGTTTCCAAAAAATGGAGGGGACTGCCAGCAAGTGGGCTCAGGCACATTCATGCTCACACACCAGGAGGGAAAAGAACAATACAATCTGAAAACAGCATGCAAATCTTTTAAGCAAATTTCCATTGCCTGGATTAGTCAGATTATAGAACCACAGAGCATTACAAATATCAAATGCATCTGGCCTTTGGGGGGCTGCAGCTAAAGAATGAAAATGGGAACTTACTTGGAACCTGGAAAACTGTAAGAAACATTAGCAAAGGAAAGGGTCTGGGAGGGGCTTCCCCCAACCACCTCCCAGGCTCCAGTGCCACAGACAGCAGGCCAGGGACTCTGCTCACTGAGGTGAGGGGGATGGTGTGGTACTGAGGGCTTACTATGTGCCAGCACAAGAGAGAGGCTAGTTCCTCTCATTCTCACCCAGTCTTCTGAGGAAGGCATCCTATTCTTAGTTTGTAGCTAGGGCCATGGGTCATATGAGTGGTTCAAGGTTGCAAAGGCTGAAGGTACACTGAGCTGCCCATATGCCTTGCACTATGTCACTGGGTCACCCAGTCAGGAACGTCAGCCTTTAGTAGCTGGCATGACTTTGACAAAGGGATCACCCTGTCTCCTCTGCCCTTAACTCTGGACTTTCTTTCCCATGGGCTGCTCAGAGTTGGTAAGGAAAGAGGAGGCAGGAGGGAAGTGAGGCAGGTACTTACAGCTATGCCGTGGCCGAAGCCTGAGCCTGGCTGTGGGCTGGCCGCACTTATGTAATTCCCCACTCCGGAGTCCTGGCTGGCAGGGCCGTAGAGATCGGCGACAGGTCCTGGGCTGTTGGCCCCCGGGAAGCCTCCGGGCCGCGCCGGGTTGGAGCCTGCCGGGGAAGCGGGCGCGCCAAAATTCGGTTGAGCACTGTAGCTATTCAGGACTGGTGTGCAGAGAATAGAGCTGGGTATGAGGCCAGAAGCCAGGCATGCACCGATCATTACAAGCCAAACACTCGAGAAAAAAAACAGCTGAGGCCCAACTTCTAACACTCAACCAAGGCCATGCGAAAACATCAGCAGGGACTCAAGAATACTCAGCCCAGGCTACTACTAAGAAGCTTGGAGCTCCAAAAATAGAGAGAAGAAAATAAACAATCATTCAACACAGTATGGCAACCAACCGGAGGTGCTCCACTGCCCACCAAGTTATCACAATAGAAATAGAGATATATATGGAGGAGAGAAAGAAAGAGAGATTTTTTTTTTTTTCACATCTGAACTGACGCTCATGCAGTCTTCTAGATTTGGGCACGTTGAGACAGCATTCACATCCCATGCAAACTACAAAGGAACTAGTTTTAGACTACACATTGTGTTAATATTGATATTAAAACATGACAGGAAACAAAGCAATTTTGTGTTCAGGAAAAAAATATCTTTGAGGAAGGGATTTTTGATTCTTTTTTGTGTATGTTCATTTCATTTTTCTTTGTTTTTGGATCCATTAAATGACAAATTTGGTTTTTTTTTTTTTTAAAGACAAAAAAAAAAGATCTTCATTCTATAGCCCTCGCCCTCCCCCCTCCCCACTGGCTACTCCCTCCCTTCCCACCCCTCCCATTTATAACCCTGCATGATAGTTGGCAACATTGAAGTGGTCAGAGGATGGCTATGTCATGGAAAGTCTGGGCATCTTAACAGAACAGTAATGATGGTGGCAGAGAGGTCCCTTCTGGTGTGCAGAGTAGGGGATGGAGGGAGGGGATGGGGTGGGAATGGTAACCTGAAGGTTGTTTTAAAGCTGGGGTGGAGCCAATGGCCCTAACAGGATACCCACACACTCACCTCCTGCAGGAGAAGGAAAGGGGGAATTTAAACTTTTTTCCTTTGGTTAAAAAAAAAAAAAAGACAAAGAAGTATGAACGCAGAGCATACGAACTGAACCATCTAACAGCTAGCGCATTATCTGATGATGCATTTTGGTTAACGTTATCCTCAGGTGGAAACTCCAGGCTGAGAAAAAGGAAGCTCACAATGCACCTTGGCTAGAGAGGGAGGCCCAGTATCCACACAACCAGAGAGTGGGTGCTGGGCCGTGTCTGTGGGAGGGGTGGCCCCATCTCCCATAACCCCATCACACTTTCCCAGTGAGGGCCCCAGCCTGTCTACCAGGTGAGTTTTGCCTGAACTTTATGTCCTCTTAGTAGCTTAAACTTTGTTTTCTACTAAAAACTAAAAAAAAAAAAAAAAAAAAATTCTACTGTAAAAGTACACTGTTCTTGGTTTTTAAACCTCAAGGTGAGTCTGGGGCCAGCTGCTGCTGAGCCACAGCTAGTCTGAAGAAACCAGCCTGAGTGTCACACATCTGCATGTTGTCAGCCCCACAAGGCTCACTTCTCCCTCCTGTTTCCCGTGGCATCTCTCCCCTGCCCTGTGACAGCCGCCTTCCATAGCAGAAACAGGCCATGAAGTGGAAGGCGAGTCCCTCTTATTCAGGGACCTGTGGTTGGAGGCCTTTACCTCTGTGGCTTTGAAGAGCCACAGGTGGACTGATTTTCACCCACTAGTCACAGGGTGAGAAGAGATTAATGATGTGCCTGTGAAGGGGACCCAAAGGTCCGAAGGGGATGGAACTAATCTGGGCCTGCCTCTCGCCTCAGATGAGGAAAGGGATAAGGCTGCCTCTGGATGCCCTTGGGCAGGAAGCCCCAAAGTGAGCCCCTTTGAAGGCTTTGCCCAGAAATGAATAAACAGGACAGCCAAGAGAGCAGGTTAAGGAGGAGAAAAAGAAAAAGAAAAAAATTAGAGGCTTAAAGCAAGTGAACAGCTTATTTGGAAATTCACGGGGCAGACAGAGGGGAGGGGATTTTTGAATACAGAAGATTAAACTTGCAGATAACATTTGGCCCTTCTTACAGAGGCAAATATCAAGCTGAGATATTCAAAAAGCAGTATTATCTTGGTGGAACACACTTTTTTCTTCTGGGCTCAGGAAATGCAAAGTACTCAAGACAGTGGGCTCTCCATTTACCCAAGCAGCAAACCCCCTCCCCTCTACAAAGGAGCTAGCTTGTTCTGATTTAGGATAAGAGGGTAGGGTCGGGTTGAGAAGGTATGCAGTAGAAGATGGAGAGAAAGATTTTTCAGCTTCCTTCTCCTCTGAGATGATGTGTTCCAAAAGATACTGGGCAGGTCTACCGAACTAGGGGATGGAGAGATGACGGGGGTGGGGTGGGGGGGTGGGGTGACGCCCCCTGGAGACCAATCCTGCCAGAAGACAGGAGGCAGTATGCCCATGGAGGATACCCCTCTGGAAGGCTTAGAAGGCAAAGTGCTGTTGGTGTTCTCCCTACATTTCAGGTGTGTGAACCTGGAAGTCTGGGGCTTAAGATGGCCTAGAGGGAATTTTACAATAAGCTAATCTCAGGCCTATAGTGTCCCTCCCTGTTCAGTCATACTTCTTCAAACACCATTAAAACCACCATGGAGAGAAAGGCACTGTACTAGAATGTGGCTTACCCTCACCCCCAGTCCCATTTTATTACACATTTGCTTAGCCCAAGCCAGAGTCCCAGCTCAAAGTTACCAAGTATCCTCCAGTGAGGGGTGGAAGACTTAGCTGCTGGGTCCTCACCAGAGGGCACTAAGCATCCAGTTCTGGGCTGGTCTCCTTCTTCAGGGACAGTGGAACTGTGCCCTCAAAGCTAGGTCATAGAGGAGAATGTCTCTCCAAGCTCCACAGTCAACATGTACATCAGCCTGGGTGTCAGAACATACTCCAGGCAGCATGTGAAAGTCTGCAAATAAGCAATCTGCAAGCCCATGCATATTTGAGAATACTCAAAATGCAATGGCTATTCGGGAAAGGATGGGGACAGACACTTGGTAGCTGCTCACGTACTGCATACTAGCAGGCTGCTTGATAAAGGGGTCATCTGAGGACCCCTTTCCCTCTAAGCCATGAGAGACATGGGGGCAGCAAGAGGCTGAGGATGCTTTCTGTGAAACAGGAGCTCCCTTCCCTAGGCACCAAGACTCAATTTGAGGGGGGTTCCCCATACCAAGACAGGTTAGGAAGAAGGGCTGGGATATCACTTTTCATGGCCAGGGAAGGGCACCTTGATTTTGACTACTCTTTCGCTAGTCAAGTTGTGTGTGTGTGTGTGTGTGTGTGTGTGTGTGTGTGTCTGCATATATGGAGGGAGAGAGTGACTCCTGCTGAATAAACAATGCTGAGATTTATAAATTGGATATGATGATGTCTATCTCAGATGGCAGTGTCAGAACGTGTTGAAATACCCTGGCATGTCTGCAGCAGAAGCTGGGATTGTTACACGGCCTGGGGCAAGTCCTGTGTCAGGCAGGCAGTTTGGGAGCTCACTGTGGTAAGCAGGCTCACTCCCACCTTAGCAGCTCAGAGCAGTATCTCTACAGCAGCAGCTTAATCTCTGGGCTGGTTCTTCCTTCCACCACATCGCAATTCCCAGCATACTCTGGGCTTTCCCAGCCCAGGCAAAACCCTCAGGAGGCAGCTACAATGCTGAGAGAGATGGGACACTGGACTTGGAGTCAGAAGTGTGACCCTGGCTCTGCCCTGACAGCTGTGTGCCCTCATCTGTAAGACATAAGTGATGCGTCCCTTATTCAACCTGACTCACTGAGCTGCTGCAAGAATGAAAAAGAGAAAACGCCCTGTGACTGATCAGGTTTAAAACAAATATATCTATTTTTGAAACAGTTGTGTATGCAGAGCCCAACAAGGTAGGTACTACATGCATATTTAGGAAAATCCAATAAAGGAAATGCAATCCACTCGCCATAGAAATCAGGAAGCGGTTTACAAAAGGGTCCAATTCATCCATTTGGTTCATTTAATCATCCTGGACCTGAAGAAAGGATTCTTGGGATTGGGGGAGGAGGGGTGTGACAGGAAAAGCAAGGACTCTTGTTATATCTCAGGGAGATAGCAAGACAAGAAAAATGCATTTGAATGAGAGTTGGAGGCATTTTACATTAAATAGAAAGCTTCCTGCCTGGCAAGAAAGCACCTTGATGGCTGACCCAGTGAAGTCTTCCTATCTTATCCCAGAGATGGGAGCAGAAATGGAATGGAGACAGGTGCGGTGTGCACAGACCCTCAGCTGGGGGGTGCTAGGCCCCAGCCTGCAGACACCTTTCTAAAGTGAGCCGGGGGAAGGGCTTGCTATCTGAATGTGGCTCTGCTCAGTTGTGGCCAGGAGTGAATGGGCCAAGAGTGGAATTAGTTCCTGGGAGTAGAAAAGTGGTGGGGATCAGAATAGCCTTCCTGTAGGTCTAGGAAAGATAGGCGAACCGAGGCATTTCTGTACTGTCCTTACATCATGACGCTGGACCTTAGGCAAAAAGTTAGAGCCCAGGACCAGAAGGGGATGACACCCTTGGTTCTAAGGTTTCAGGGGACCCAGATAGTCTGTGACACATCGCTGGATGTCTGTGCTGCTCAGAGAGAGCAAACACAGTGGAGGGCCAGCCTTACCAAGCCCAAGCCCAAAGGTGATATGCTGCCAAAACACAATTAATTACGCTGGGCATTGTAGAATCAAGCACAAGGGTGTCATAGCCCTGTTCCTGACCCCCATCTCCTAGTGGAATGGAGGACTGAGAAGAGGTGAGGTCATGAGCATGTGTGACAGTCTCTGAGGACAGGAGCTGTGTTAATCTATCACACTGGATTTCAGTGGTGGTTTTAGAGAAATGAAAGGGAACTATTTAATAAAGTCACTGCTTCCTCCAACAATCCCATTTTCTCTCATCTCATGTGCATCATGTTTCTTTATCCACTTTGGTCAAGATTCCAAGGCATAGGGTTGTTTTAGAAAAGAACTCCTCAACACAGGCTGTGTAGAGGTCTCACTGGACCCTACGTTCTCAGTCAGATGGCCTACTCTCTAGAGCAAGCATA